CTGGAACTGCGGCCGGCAGCCCCGCGCCCGCCGCTCCGGCTCCTCTGCGGCGTCATCGGACTCCACCACGGCACTGGGGACAGGGGACAAGGTGACAAGAGTCCCAGGATGGGGTTACCAGGGGCAGGGGAACAGGGATTGTAGGACAGGGTGACAGGGATTCCATGACAGGGTGATGAGAATCCCGGGACACGGGAGTGTGTTGGGGGCTCACTGATGCATCCCCACATGTCAGGTCTCAGCCCCATTCCCATCTCCCCCTTTTCCCACCATCCCATTCTGTAGGCCTCACCTGTCAGGCCCCCCAGGAAGTCTCCAGCCACGGAGCTGCTCCAGGATGGGATCTCCCAGCTGGACACGGAGCGGGAGCAGTGGAGCCCAGACGGAGAAGCTCAGCTCTGCCCGCAGCCGGCGCACCCAGAAATCCACGCGGGCCCCCCGTGCCCCTCGGCTCTCCTTGCCCCCCACAAAAACCAGGTCGCAGGAATCCGACACCTGCGAGGACACATAGAATTCCATGGGAATCTCCCAGGGTGAGGCAGGATAACAAGGGGATAGCAGGACTCACCTGCAGGACCTGCTTGTCAGCGGATTCACATCCTACAGGATCCGTGAGCTCGGACACTCCACCCCCTGCTTCCACAGTCACCAGTTTCACTGGGATAACGCGGGGGATCCCGGTCAGCGGTGCTGTGTTCAGGATCTCCAGCTCCTGGAAGCGCAGTGGGATGAGGGAGTGCTTCCCACGGGATGGAGGGCTGGAATGGGATGGGGGGCACCCACCTGCACCAGCGGGACGAGGGCACGAACATCCCTCTCCGACACCTGGATTTCCCAGACCAGTTTGTCCTTCTGCGCCTCGGGATCCTGGCCAGGATACTCCACCTGCCAGGTGAGGGGCCGCGCCGGTGCCAGCCCCCCCGTCCCGTTTTCCACCGCCACATCCAGGTGCAGGAACGCGGCCGGCTCGGACACCCTGCGGCACCGCACCAGGATCAGGGTGGAACAATGCAAAATTCCCACCAGGATGGGGGAATTGGGATATTCCCTACCTGGAGATGTCAGGGATGACAGGGATGTCCCCGAGCCGCCGGCATGTCACCACGGCCGTGGAGTGCTTGGGACCGCGGGAATGCTCCAGGTGCACGCTCCAGGTGCTGGGAATTGTGGGGCGGGCAGAGACCACCTGCAGGCCCTTCTTGGCCTTGATCCTGCAGGGACACACAGTGTCACACTGTGTCAGATGGTGTCAGAAGGTGTCACACAGTGTCATTCACAGTCACACAAAGGGTGTCAGGCAGTGTCACACAATGCCCACAGTGTCCACAGAATCACACAATATCACCCAATGTCAGGTGGTGTCAGACTGTGTCCCACAGTGTCACTCACAATCACACAGTGTCACTCACTGTCAGAATGGTATCAGATGGTGTCACTCACTGCCACTAAATGTCACACACTGTCACACATTATCAGATCCTGTCAGCTGGTATCAGATGGTGTCACACAGTGTCACAGTCACACTGTCACAAAATGTCACTCAGTGCACATGGTGTCAAACAGTGTCACATAGTATCACATACTGCCACAAAATGCCACACAATGTCACAGACTGTCACACAGTGCCACTAACTGTCACAGTGTGTCATACACTGCCACACACTTTCACATAGTGCCATGCAGATCCCACACTGTCCCCATTGTCCCTGCTCTCACCTCAGGGTCAGGCTGTCAGCGGTGAAGTTGTGGCGCAGGGCGATGGTGGCCGTGAAGCGCTGCCCAGGCCGCAGGGGGACATTGGGGACACGCAGCAGCACCTTCTCGTCCAGCCGCACCTCCTGCCGCCGCTCCGGCTCTCCTGCCCGCAGCTCCAGCATTCCCAGATATCTGGGAGCCTCCTGCTCCCGACCTCCGCACTCCCCCACACTATAGCGCAGCTCAGCTGGTGCTGGGCGCTCTGGATGCTCCAAGGGATCGGAATCCCGCCGGCGGCTCCGGTGGGAATGGAGAGATCCCAGGGAGAACCAGCGTGGCGGGATCTCCAGCTCCACCACACACACGCCCAGTGGGGCCTGGAGGGGAGAGGGGGGCCTGGGATTAGGCTGGAGGGGAGCTGTGGGTTCCCAGGGTCCCTAGGATGGCACTGACCTGCAGGCGACATGTCCCCCGGGCCACCCGCCCACGGTGGTGAGCGTGGAGGGTGACACAGGGGAGATCCTGAGCTCTGGAGTGATCCCAATCCCTTGAAGAATCCCAATTCACAGGGTGGTCCTGCTGCTGACGGTGGTACTGGTCCTTGGGGTGGTCCCGGATTCCAGGGTGGTGCCGGTCTTTGAGCTGATCCTGGTCCTTGGGGTGATGCCAGACTTCATGGTGGTCCTGCTGCTCAGGGTGGTCCTGATCCCTGGGGTGGTCACGATCTCCAGGGTGATCCCAGTTCCTAGGGCGATGCTGGACCCCAGGGTGGTCCTGGTCCCGAAGGTGGTCCTGCTCCCTGGGATGATCCCGGTCCCTGGGGTGACCCTGACCCCCAGGGTGGCCCTGGACCTCAGGGTGATCCCAGACCCCAGGGTGGTCCCAGTCCTTGGGGTGATCCTGAGTCCTGGTGTGATCCTGCTTCCCAGGCATCCAGTCGGGCCCATACAGATGGAAGAGGACACGGGCCATGGGCTCAGCAGGGGACACAGAGCTCTCCAGGGACACGGCGCGGATGGCCCAAGCTGCTGAGCTGGAGGGGTTCTCCAGGGGCACCTCCTGTAAGGACACCAGGATGGTGGTGGGAGCTAGGACACCCTGGGGTGGCCCAGGGGACAGAGGAGTCCCGCTTACCTGGCGGATGCTGAATGGGGGGTAGGTGGCCTGGACCAGGGGCTGGGATCCAGCACGAAGCAGCAGGAATGTCTCAGAGCGGGTGTGCAGGGAAGAGTTGGGGGCCACGTCCTGATCCACCCTCTGCAGCCGGAAGAACTCGGGCACCCCAAGGACCTCCAGCTCCACTGGCAGGAACACGGGATCCGGGGGCTCCCCGTCACCCCTCACTGCAAGGACAAAGATGTGTCACATCCCACGGGGGACACATCTGGGAGTGGGGTACACAGGGGTGGCAAGTGTGGGGTCTTTGTGCCCACCTTTGTGGCAGCATGCAGTGTGACCCCTTGCCTGGGCCACCACATTCTGAGGTCACCCCTGCCATGGTTGCCCCATTCCAGGGTTATCCCATCCCTGCATCAAGACTGAGGGGGCCACTCGGTTCCCCCAGTCCCAGCTGTTCCCTGCTGGGGAGGGGGTTGGAACCGTGTCCTTCGGGGGGGATCAAGGCTCAGGGTCCTGATCAAAGGGATCCCTCATCACAGGGAGCAGATCCCACCTGGATTCCCGGCAGGGCTTCCTTACAGCCGGGAATTGATCCTACCTGGGCGATCAGGTGTGTGGGGAGAGAGGCGAGGCAGATCCCGGGATCCGGAGGGGAGTCCCTCGGGCTTCCCGTGGGGACTGGGAGGAGATTCCCCCCTCGATATCCCAGCGGATCCCACGTTCCCCGGGTGACCCCCTCGGGATCCCAGGCCGTGGAGGGGGCACGGATCCCGGGGAACGCGGGGAAGGAGGAGGAGGGAGTGAGGTCGCCCGGGATCCCGGCGGAACGGAGGGACCCGAATGTGGGGAAAGGGGAGAATCGACCCAGGTTGCGGGAGCACGGGGGAGCGGATCGCGGCAGGCAGGCGGGAAGGGTGCAGAGCGGGGTCGATGCCGGTGCCCGGTGCCATTCCCGGTGCCAGCTGCCGTTTCTGATGCCATTCCCGATGCCGTTCCCACTTACCCGGGGCGCAGAGCAGGGCGGCGGCCAGCAGCGCCAGCCGGGGCGCCGGGGCCATGGCCGAGGGGCTCG